TTTACAACTTTATATCTACTGGATAATATAATATCGTATGTGTTTGAAAGCGTTTAATAAATAGACGTTGAGTAGCATAATTTCAATTTGAATTTATATTCTTCATTTGAATTTTGTGAATCAGCAGGCACTAGTTCAAATTCTAAATACTCTCTCTTCATTCTTTTATAGAATTTTGTAGCTAGCTCAACATTCGCAGCATAATTGAAATTTAAAAAATGGTTCATTTTATGGTCAATAAATTTCGCATTAGGAAACACGTGATAGCGCCTCTCATTCAGTATAAAAATAATCCTCTCGGGTTGCGCCATTTCATATTAAACGGAGGTGGATACATTTTAGGAGCTTTTTTTATTGTTTTAATCTTTTTGTGTGAAATATTATTGCTGGAATAACGAATAAATAATCTTGTAGGAAGGTATTTTTTATGTTATATAAAAATGTTTGCTGTCGTCTTAGGATATATTAAAGTATTTTATTTTCCCGAGTAACACCAAATTTTGACTAAATAATATATGGCGTGGTTATAATTTTTTATCATTTTCATTTTTCCTTTGGTTATCAAAAAAAAAGGGAATATTACAGCTTGAAAACAATTTTCCGGAACCGTAAATATATTTCTGCAAATTAAAGGGCATATACCACACGAGTTACTGAAATATTGTGAAGCAGCAATGACGGATCAATTAACAACATTAATTATTAAAATTATAAATTAAAATAAAATACCGGAAGAATGGAGAACGAGCGAATTAATTCACCTATTCAAAAAAGGAGATAAAAAACAGCCAGAAAACTACACAGATATAAACTTGTTAAATACTATAGTTCAGTTAAATTGTATTTTTGTTAGGAAAGTTTTGGGGTAGTTCTGATTTTTTTCATCCTATATGTTTTTTGGGGTGCTTAACCCGAATCTGGGGTTTGCGGACAAAATTTCGTGATGCAACATTAAAAAAAAAACAGAATAAACCGTTTTTTTCTTCTTTTTTCGGGTTTTTTTGCTTAAAACTCGAAAACTATCAACTTTTGGTAAATGGTCTGTTTACAGAAATTAAAATACTTGAAATTTTCTACAAATACCAGTATTTCGTTTTTTTTTCAGACGAATCGTTTGGTTTCTAGTGCGAGTTGAAAATTGTAAACTTTTAGCATTTTATGCAAAACCCACTTTTTACATTTTAATATTAAATTTTTATGGATGCTGTCATTTGATAAATGTCACCTAGTTTTCCACACAAGTAATTAAAAAGAAAAAGGAGAAAAATTATGCAAATTCAGTAGGTAGGTAGAACTCGTAACAAAATAAAACTTAAAATCTCGTTACTTATGATCATATATTATTATGATTATAAATTATAATATGCAAAATTTATATGAGCCGTTGTCTTTTGAAAGCCCTGGCTGAGGTTCTTCGATAACGATAAGTCCTCGTTCTGCTTATTCTGGAAAATAAAAGATTAAAGTTAAGTCATTTATCAAGAAGAGATGAAGATTGCAAAATAGATTGTGAGATACCTTCCGCATCGTAGCGAGGTTCTTCGATGGCATCGGGTCCTGGCTCAGGGTCTGATTGCTCCATCGTCCGCGTTGGGAGTCGTTCTCATGGAAAATAAAAAGAGGAGAGACACATATCATATATCAAGGAGAGATGAATGACTACAAAATAACTTGTCAGATCCAACATACCTCTCCCTCTTTCTTCAGTTTCTTCTACGTCTATGTCAGAGCTGTCTTCTGGGGGCTCAACATTGTTACACAGTCCTTCGCATGATGCGCATATTGGGAACAATGGAGTCCCGCCTTCCTGCATCCACAATTGCGTTGACAGCCCTTTTTAAATTTACATGAAATGTACCGGAGTATTGCGTTTGGTGAAGGGTCCAAAGTAGTTGGTACTGGCACAAGACCACTACTAGTTTTTGCCATCCCCACTCACTTGGGTCTTTTGTTGCTCGTAAGGTGTGGCTTGACCGAATAACCACTGCTGCACCTGATAGTAAACTCTCAGTGAGTGTTCTCGTGCAGCAGCTTCAGTTGGGGGTAATGAGGAAATGTTGGTCTTATTTTTGAATGATGAAGATACGTATTGTTTATATCTTAAATCGTTTAGTTTTGTCTCTTTTTTTCCATATAGAGCCGTGCGAAACATGCTTCCTGCTGTGGCAATCTCATCTTGACTTGAATTAGGGTCTTTGAAATCTTCAATTACCGATTGCAAATCTTTGTTCATCTGCACGACTTTAAGAAATTTCAGTTTCCCTTGATTAAACAATGCAGAAGTAGTATCACAACCACTCATCGCAAGCAGAAATAAAATATGATTCAATAGGATTTTCTCAGCAGCCAAATGAGGGTTGTAGAGGCTTTGCGAAACCTTTCCTTTTCCTGGCTTCAAAAAAAATATATTTTTTATATCAGGGCTACAAAGGCCAATCAAAATGACCAGTAGGTCGATATCTTTCCCCACCACTGTCACATGTTCATTTGTGCGCTAGTATGCGCTACACGTACACACATACTACAACGTCTACAACACTTTAGCACATTGTTGCCGCTTGGAATGTAAAGCGGCTTTAACTGCTTTTTAACTGAGTTATTTTTGATTTTTTGCAATCTAGCTATAATATTTGAGTCAAAACGTGAATTATCCGTGTAACTCGGTCTTTATTTTAATTAACTTAAATACTAGGGGAAATTAACTGAAAACCTTTCAATACAAATCTAAAAAGTGGGTTTTGCAGTCACCCCCGTACAAATTACCAATTTTCAACTTGCTCTTGAGACCGAACGGTTCGTCTGTACACTAACCAAAAATAGTGACATTTGTACAGAACTTTAAGTACTTTAATTTCTGTAAACAGACCATTTACTAAAAGTTAACAGTTTTCGAGTTTTAAGCAAAAAACCGGACAAAAGCAAAAAAAACCGATTTCTTCTGGTTTTTTAAATGTTGCGTCACCAAAATTTTGTCCGCAAACCTCAGATTCAGATTTAGCACCCCAAAACACATATGGAATGAAAAAATCAGAACTTCCAAAAAATTTTCCTAGTAGTATCACTTTACAGTACAAATTTACTGAATTACTACGCTTAAACTTACAACTAAAATTTTTTAAGTGCCAATAAATAAGAGGATACGTTTAGCAGATAAACAACGGGGTTTTCGTAGTGGAAGATCATGTACAGATGCAATATTCGTTATAAAGCAAATTGACAGAGTAAAACTCACAGTTATAATCCATCTTCTGTATAACAGAGAAGTTCCACCAAATAATATAAAAACTATTGAAAACATCTGCTAAAACAACAAAATGGAAGTCAGAATAGATGAAAAACTTACAGAATCTACAGAAATAGGCAACAGAATAAGACACTGGGGTCCATTCAGCCGTATCATCAAAAGCATTATTAAAGAAGATGATAGAGAATGGGAAACAAAGAAATCAAAATACTTTGTCATGCAGACAACGCAATATTGATAGCCCAAGATGAAGATAGTCTGCAAAGACGGTCCACAGATTTAACATAAGGGCAAAAGAATTTAATATGCCAATCTCATATCAGAAAACTGAACCAGTAGTAGTCAGCAAAGAACCAAGCCAATGTAAAATAGAAATTGATGGCATCAGTATTGAACAAGTAATGGAAATAAACTATCTGGGAATTACACTGTCTAGATATGGAGACCTAAACAAAGAAAGGAGAAATCAAGTACAAAAAGTAACTAGACTGGTCGGATGCCTTAATATCAACGATGCAAAAAAGATACATTAACCCAGAGATGAAGTCAAGAATTTATGAAGCCAGTATAAGACCAATAATGACATATGCCTAAGAAACAAGATTCTACACAGCCACAACGCAAATGATACTGGAAACGGCAAAGATGAGAGTACGGAGAAGAATTAGAGGAAATACGCTGAGAGATCGAAAGAGAAGTGAAGACATTAGTAGAAAATGTGATGTACAGTTGAGACCCGTGTCGTCAAAATAGCAAGAGATAAGTCACCAATCGACAGAAAAAGTATCGGACGGCCGTGCAAAAGATGGACTGACAACCTTCCATAGATGTATTAATCCGCCAATGAACAAGCAGAATTGCTTATAAAGAGAAAGAAGAAGAAAAAGAAGAAGATTAAAGGGCAACGCTGAGAAATTATTAAAAAATAATGCTTTTGGACGTTGTCTACAAATTGTATGCAAGTTAAGTATTATTGTTTTTATACCAATAAAAACAAAGAGAGTTTTTAGAAATGGGATTTAATAATATTGAGAATTGTTTAATAATGAAAATATTGTCGTGTTGCGTACGCTTGACGTGCTCTGTGCTTTAGCAAAATCCGTAATTACCTTTCTATTGCGAATATTACCTTACTATAGAAAGATGCTATACTTATATATAGAAGATACTATAGGAAGAAGTCTATCAAGACTTTTTTCCCGATTTTCTAACGCACCGTTTCTATAGCTGCAAAGATTCTCGACGACTGAAACAGTTTCAGAAATTAGGTTTTATTTATAAAAGTTCTCCGAGGCAGCATTATATTATTAGTATTGGCGAACTGTTTTGCAAGCAATAATATCACTGTGTGTGAATTGTAAGCGATAATTATTATTTTAATTAAAATTTGTGTTATTTGTTATTAAATTTTTATACCAGGTTTCCTTCACGTAATCTCTAAACCCATAGAAAAATGTAACAACTGGTGTTAGAAGCGAGCTTAGTTTAAAGAAATTATTTTCCAGAATTTTTATGATCAAAATAAGAGGCGAAACCAAGATGGAGGAAATCCGAGATCTGATTGCCACAATGGAAAAACGTCAACAAAAAGCTGAAGGAGGACTTCGTCAGAAAAAAAATAAAGCTGAAGAGAGACGTCCTTAGGAAGAGAAGCAAGCTTGAGAAAGGCGTCGTCATAAAGACAGAGAGTTGCTCGTGACCCTTATATCAAAAATAGGGGCCCAGAAAGGTCAATAGAGAAGATATCAAAAGGGAAATGGAAGTGACGAAAGAGGACATAATTGAAGAAATTGAAGTAACAAGAGGTCGAATACAAAAAAGTCATGATGAGTTAACGAAAACTCCAACTGAGAGATAAAGGTAAAATTGAAGTGATTTGTTCCCCTGTTAACAGAATAATTAAGCCTCATTAATTTGACAGCGAAACCTCCTGACCAGTGTACAGAAGGCAATTCGAAATCGCTGTACAAAATATTGGATGGACAAATGAATAGAAGATAACAGCTCTTTAATCAGTACTTGAAGATAATGTCAAAGTACTTGAAGAGATCCCAGAAAACGCACGCAAAAGAGCAATGAGACCATCGTATCGATTTTAAAACTAAGATACAACTAAGATATTTGAAGCAAGTCATTTCACAACAGTCACAATTCATAATTTGACCACAGTCAACAGAAAGTGTGTATCCAAGGCTCCAACTAAACTGAAAAAAATACGGACTGGAGGTAGGAAAAATAGTACATGTTTGGTCCTAAGCCCTGAAAGAGTTTCGATACCATATCACCATCCAATGCTTTTTTTAGCAAGCACGTTTAAAGCACGTTTTCCGATTATATGTATGTAGGGGTCTGAACAGAATTTAACTAAGTAATAATATTTAAATTTTATTTTATCCTTGCCATCTGCTGTTTGTTTCATTGTAATTTTGTAAAATGACAAAAAAGTTAGACCCCTTTTGATGTGTCTCTAATACCATTTGATGTTGTATTTTAGTTGATTGACCATATTCAAGAATTTACAAACCATATTCACGGTTTATTGGCTGTATTAATTAGCCGTATTATGAAAATTTAACTATTCGAGGATCTAACCACTCAATTGGAGGCCACACACACATGGTATAATTACAGCTCTCCGGAGGACCTAACGTCTAGTTGGGAGGCCACACAAGCAGCCCATTGATGTCATCGATGCCATAAGTATCATCCTCACTATATTCATTGTTAAGCATTAGCAAGGTTGATTGTTTTTTTATTTTTTTTTTAATAAATATGATTAGTTAAATGATTTTATTTGCTATCAGCTAAGGGTTCATTATTTGATTGCTAGTTTAAGACAATACGAACTCGCACTTGAGATACGGAGCTAGGCGAAACATAGACAACAAGCTCCCATGAATGATTGAGGTATTATTTTTATAAAAGTACTTAAATTCTATTCGCTAGTCTTATCACTACAAAAGAAAGCTCAAAGAATTTATAAGAGTTCGGAAATGGGTTGGATAACATTCAGGAAAACCTAGTCGAATTGCATTATGAAGGGGCCTTCCAACAAAACTGAAGTGTGTACCAAAAGCTACTAGTCGGTCTCAAGGTATAATATACCATTTTTTAAAGTTATCTAACTTAAAAATAAATAGAAATGTTACAACTTATTCTTCAATATTTGCATTATACAGATACATACAGTTAAAGTTTAGCTGTTATCTGATTTCTATTTATAAATTGTATTGTTTTTCTTTCGAACCATTTTAATATTTCCTTTTCAGAATGTTGTATTTTTCAACACTTACGAAGTAATGATTAAGAGTACTTTAGACCACATATTCAAACAATTTTGTTCTGTATTGCCATCTCTGATAGGAATTAAGACACTTTGTATTCATATTGCTCAGCTAAATGGCCCATCATATACACATGAAGTGGTTTATTTCTAAAAAAGAATGATTTTCATTTATATGTTGTATCTATCCAGATCTAAGTTTAAGACGTTGGGCGCCAAGGCGTAACCATCGATCGACCCATCAGAAACAGTGGGTACCAATTGGTAACAATATAACTACTTTTACAATTTGAGAGTCTATGTAGAACAATAAAACTTACAAATTTACAACCTTAAAAGGCAGAAAATATTGATTTTTCACGTTGAGAACCCCTATGAATAGCTCTTCTGACGAGACCTATTAGGTTGAAATACAATTCAGACCTACAAATACTAGAAATTCATTATTCATCATTTTCAAATTTTTTCCTTTTTAGGTTGCGTATACATTCGTCTGAAAAACGATATGGGCTATGGAATCTCCCAATAATTTTAAAAATATATCTAAAGGGGTTTGGCATTCAGCAAAGTTTAGTTTACAATCATTTTCAGCTAAATTATAATCTGGTATTTTAATATCTCTCTCCTCTTTCTTCCATATTTTTTTCCAAATTGGCCTCTCTGGATGATGGACCTTGATTTTTTGTATGTTCTCCTTCAGCTACCTGCGATTCCTCTTCAGATTAATGCTCTTCTAGTCCAGGTGGTCTTCCATCAATTCGTGTCATTTGAGCAGCAGAAAATAAATCCACAACGTTCTCTTCCAAGTCAGATTCAATATCTGTATCATCATTATTGTCTAAAGGAAGATCATCGAAATCATCATTTTCATGATTTCAAGTAGCTGGGTATCAGTTAGAGGAATTTTATTTCGATTCCACGCAATCTGTAAATGTAGAAAAAAAGTCATGCATTACTAGCCAAAGGTACTTATAAGTACCATTTAAAAAACGGCCTATATGAAAGCTCACATTACATTGCACAGTTTGTAAATTACCCAAAATTACAAGAAAATTACTTACATTTAGAAATTTACATCCTTAGCACCTGTATTTTCAAGCAATTTGTCTGTTAGAAATAATAAACACAGGATGACCTTCACTATAAAAAACATCAGTGCACACTAACCGTATCAAAGAGAATATCGAGAGACAAAGCAGCGTTGCCGTTACTTTTAATCGTAAAAATATGAACTAAACATACGACTTTAGTGTACCGTTACCTAAATTCGCGTGAACTGAATGCATTGTTGTTTAAAGGACATTCAAAGTTGATGGTACTCAAATGTACCGCCGGACGTTAAGGGGCGAGAAAATTTATATTCTCTGGCCGTCAAAGGGTTAACCAAGTTGTCTACATTTAATCATTAAGAATCATTCTGCCTACATTTGTTAATTTGTCAAAGTTCTCACTTGCTTTGTACATATTAACATCACAAATACCTCTTACATTCAACTTTACTGTATTAGCTTAAGTCTGTTTGTAAGACTATTTTTTAGGTAGTGATTTTTAAAGTTTATTATTTTTAACGGCTTTAGAAATATTATTAAAAGTAGATACACTTTGTTGCTGCTGAAATACGCTAAAATACATAAGAAAGCATTGTAATACAAAATTATATATTCTAAATTCTTCAGCTTACCTCTCTTAAAACAATTAAAAGCAAAAAAAGGCCTGCCATTATTTCGTTTTTATTCAAAATAATCTATTAATTACGCAACTAGCTCTGTTAACAATTTATTAAAGGTATACATTGGGAATTCAATTCATAAACAAATCAAAGCAAAAATATAAACAGAATCTATAAACAGAATTTGTACTAAAAGATTGTAAATTATCATCAAGGCTGTAAGCAATCTGACCACACACCCAAATACCATCCAACTTTTATTTATATACCCATATTACTGGCGTGCAATCATTTAATATATTCAATTAATATTATTATTTTTTGGAATATTAGTCTAAACAATTTTTGCATAAAATTTATACAAATAATAATAAGAAATGTTTTTGTGTATTCAATCAATATAATTCTCAAATTCTCAATGTATCCACATTTACATTTATGTTAATAAAATACAATGTTGACGCCTATGAAAGATTGAGCAGCTCCGCATGATTGTCGTATTTTAGCTGTTTTAGGGAAGTTTCAACTCTAAGGTTGATGCTATGGACATTTTAAATACAAGGGACGTTAGTTGGCAAAAATCGTAACGTAACATGATTTTAGTATAAAAAATACTATACGTAAAATTTTCTTATACATTTTAATATTGAATCTACAGTGTTTTATAAAATTTACAGCTTTACAATTCTATATTTTTTAAAAAGGAAACCGCTATTCAAACTTTAAATACGGTCGCTATTATTTATTCTACATCTGACAATTCTACAAGTGGTCAACCAAAAAGAGAAATGCCTGCCTAGGAACAAAGCCATTAACACCCCAACTAATTGCACCTTCCTGTTTTCAACTTTACTGCGGCTGGCCGAGTTTAACCTAGTATTCCAACAGTTAACAACGATATGATTTTCAGTCGATAGAAATTGCGGTAGTCAAGTAGAGCTATCTATGAAAACTTTAGACATAAACGCTGCGGGTTATTAACAAATTTCGGGTTTGTAACAAAAACTTAACAGTTTGGTAGTTATGAATGCCAGATCTGTAGAACTTTTGTTGCAAGTTGACAATTACGACTTTAAGTGAAATGCGCAGTCTTCTTCTTAAGGTGCCTTCTCCATTACTGAAGGTTGGCTATAACTACAGCAAATTGCTCTCTATCTTGAGCTGTTCTTAGTATCGCATGTGTGTCCATGCCTGTCCAGTCTCTTATGTTCTTCAACCAGGAGCATTTTCTTCTTCCTGGACCTCTTCTTCCTTCCACTTTCCCTTCCATTATAAGTCGTAGGAAGTTGTATTTTTCTCCTCTGTAGATATGTCCTAAATAACTCGTTTTTCGGTTTTTTACAATATTTAGGAGTTCTCTGTCAGTACCCATTCTTCTTAGCACCTCGTTGTTGGTCACGTGCTCTGTCCAAGAGATCTTCAGCATTCTTCGAAAAACCCACATCTCAAAGGCTTCTATACGCCTCATACTTGTAATTCCGAGAGTCCATGTTTCCACTCCGTATAGCAATATGGAATAAATAAACGTTTTTACAAATTGGTATCGGATGTCCAACGATAACGTAGAGTTTATTAGAAATTTTTTCATTCGCTGAAATGCGGACCTAGCATATTCTATACGAGCACGTATTTCGACCTCGTGGTCAAGATCGTTTGTTATCCAGCAACCAAGATACTGGAATCTTTGTACTGGTTCTATATGTTTGTTATAGATACGAATATTAATGTCGACATTTGGTGCACGTGTAACAGCCATCACTTTTGTTTTATTTGTGTTTATATTTAGTCCCAAGCTATCTCCCTCTCTGGTTATGACATTCAAAAGTCGTTGTAAACCCTCAGCACTGTCCGCAATAATGACGGTGTCGTCTGCGTATCTTAAGTTGTTTACGTATTCTCCGTTGATTTTTATTCCTTCTTCAATATTTTCGAGGGCATTTTGAAAGATCTTTTCGGAATATATATTAAATAACAGTGGAGAAAGTACACAGCCCTGACGAACTCCTCTTTTTATTGGCAATTCTGCTGTCAGACGATTGTCTATTTTGATAGATGCCATTTGATCCCAATATAATTTTTTAATAAGTGCTACAGTGTTATGGTCTATACCATGTTGTGTTAGGGTTTCTATGAGTTCTGTGTGTTTAACTCGATCAAACGCTTTTTCGTAGTCGATAAAACAGAGAAAGACGTCTTTTCGCTGATCTCGGCATTTTTGTAGTAATACCTGGAGGCCAAATAATGCCTCCCTTGTACCAAGCCCCATACGAAATCCAAATTGATTGTCGCTAAGGTTTCTTTCGCATTCTCTGTATATTCGTTGATGTACAATTTTGAGTAAAATTTTCAGAAAATGGCTCATCAGGCTAATTAATCTGAACTGTGAGCATCTATTTGCTTTATTTTTCTTGGGTATAGGTATAAATGTCGATCTAAGCCAGTCTTCTGGGAAGATTCCAGTGGTATATATTTTGTTAAATAATATTGTTAATGTCTGAAGATTTTCTTCATTGATGAGCTTTATCATCTCTACGTATATTTCATCTGGACCTGAGGCTTTTCGTGACTTTGCCGTATTGATTGTTTTTGTAACTTCAGATGTTAATATATCAAGTATTGTTTCTTGTACTATATTCATTTGTGGTTCTGTTCTCTCGTCATCAAACAGATCTTCGATGTATTTTTCCCACATGTCTCCTACTTCTTCTGGACTAGATACTATTTCGTTGTTATCATCTACTAAAGTTGTTGTAGTGATTTTTTTCTTCATATTTGTGACTTCCTTAATCTTTTTGTAGGCATTAAAGTAGTCATGCTTTTTTAGTAAATGTCCCAGTTCCTCACACTTGCTGCTCATCCATTCTTCTTTGGCTTTCCTAATTTTGTTTCGGATGATTCTCTGGGTTTCTTTATATTTTTCTACATTACGATTTTTGTAAGATCGCCTTATGTCCATCAGTTCTAGGATTTCTTCTGTCATCCATGTATTCTTTGTTTTTCTGGTGCTGTCTTGTAGTTGTTCTCTTTGTATAGTTGTCATCGTTGTTTTGAAGGTGTGCCAAATACTTTCTATTGTCTCTTCTGCTTCCGCGGGGGTTTCACTGAACTTTTCTTTGAGTGTATCATTGAGTTTTTTCTCTATTTCTGCCTGTACTATTGGGTCTTTAAGTTTTTCTAGGTTAGGTTTTATATTCTTTCTGTATTTGATTTTTTTTAGTCTAATTAAAATTTTACCAACAACAGGATTGTGGTCGGAGCCGATGTCCGCCCCGGGATATGTTTTTCAGTCGCAGTCTTACCAATGTAAATTATTCTTTATCATTTTTGGGATTTTCTCAGTCTCCAGATATATACTTTTTCAGGAGCTGTCTTAACTCTGCGTTGGTGTGGTGCCTAAAACTTACGTGTCTGGTGTGGTTGGGTGTGACATACCCCATAGCAAAATACGTCTTGGAAAACTTAATACCTTAGTATCTGCATCAAAAGTATATACTTTTCGTTTGAAATAGTGCGTACTATTAAAAAAATTTAAAAAGTCTCACCATCTCAAACAATTTATTGTCCAGTTCAAAAATAACAGAAATAGCAATTTAAAATCATTACATTTTTATAAAATAAAAAATAAAAACTAAAGACTTCTGAACACAAAACACAACACAATTTTCTTTATTGACTTATAAACAAATAAACATTATAAAGAATAATAAATACATCAACAACAGTTACATCATTTACTAACTTTTTTCGTTGACGCAAGTATCGCATTTGAAACATGCGTGTTCTAAACAAACAAAATGTCTGCAATCATAACACACGTAGAGACTTTTTCTGTCTCTTGATCTGGGATACACTACACATCTACCTTGTACTTTCTGAGGTTTAGGCAACGATTCATCACAATCTAAACTCTTATAGCCCGGTGTCTCACGCAGTTTTCTCGGCAACCGAGGATTCTCTTGTCTTTCTTCCATATAATCTGCTTCTTCTTCTTTAAGTTCCATCTTCTATCGAAGGTTGGAAATCATCATGGCTATGCGGACTCTGTTGACTGCCTCTCTAAAAAGTTCTGCACTACTGAATTCAAACCATTCCCTTAAGTTCTAAAGCCAAGATATTCTTCGTCTTCTTACATTTCGCTTTCCTCGGATTTTATCCTGCATAATAAGTTGTAATAATGCGTATTTTTGCCCTCTCATCACATGTCCCAAGTACTCAAGTTTTCGTCTTTTAATAGTTAATATTATTTCCGCATCATTCTCTATCCTTCTAGTTACTTCCATGTTTGACATTCTTTGAATCCATGATATTCGCAGGATTCTTCTGTAACACCAAAATTTAAAGGCGGCCAACTTATTCAGATGAACTTGTTTTAGTTCCAAGCTTCCAAGCCGTAAAGAAGAGTAGAGAACACGTAACATCGAAGCATTCTCAGGCGTAGTTCTAACCTTATATCCCGACAACAAAGAAACTTTTTAAGTTTAATAAATAATGTACGTGCTATTTCAATACGTGTCTTAATTTCTTTGGTTTGGCCTACATCTGATGTTATCCATGTTCCTAAGTATTTATAGTTATTAACACTCTCAATTGCAGTATCTTCAATAGTCAATTGGATATTTGCATGTGCAGATTTAGTCATGATCATGCATTTAGTTTTCTTTAAATTTATCTTCAGTCCGTACTCATGACAACGTTCATTAAGGCGTTGCATTACGTTCTGTAAATCATTGTTGTTATCCGTAATTATTACTGTATCGTCTGCAAAACCTAAGTTATTCAAAACTTCTCCATTGATAGATATACCTTCTATTGAGTCTGAGAGCGCTTCTTGAAATACCGCTTCACTGTAGACATTGAAAAGGAGTGGAAACAGCACGCAACCCTGGCGGACTCCTCTCTGTATTTTGATATTTTCGGTGTACTGGCTGTCAACTCTTACCTTGGCAGTTTGATTCCAATATAAATTAGATATAAGTTTCAGATCACGACTGTCAATATTTTTGCTTTTTAATATATCTATAAGCTTTTTATGTTGAACTTTATCAAATGCCTTTTCAATGTCTACAAAACATAAGTACATATCCTGATTCATGTCCATGCATCTCTGATCCAGCACATTCAAGCCGAACAAAGCATCTCTTGTACTCATACCATTTCTAAAGCCAAATTGTGTGTCACTAATCTCATATTCAAGAGTTTTAACAATTCTGCTGTGAATTATTTTCAAAAATGTTTTAAGTGTGTGACTCATTAAAGCTATTGTTCTGTGGTCTGAGCAAGTTGTTGAGCTTGGTTTTTTGGGAATTGCGCTGCAATAATTATGAATGTTTCCATCTCACGTTACAAAACACCAACTAAGCTTAAATATGAGTAATTAATAAATAACCGACTGCCTCTATTGGTGGTCTGTTTACAATTATATAACCTCGAGCAGTGATGCTTTGATTCTTATTATTTAGGTTGCAAAATATTATGAATGCTGAAGGTGCAATGTTGAATTTGGAGTACAATTCAGATATTTTGAAATAAGCACACTCTATTATTGATTACATGCTTATTCTATTAAATAGAATATTGTGCTTTCTCGACTATTTAGCTATATTATACATTTCACTTGTACCCTCTCTACTACCTCATCATTTAGATTTATATACGCTTCTGCTTTAGTTTTTGCTCTTGTTCTTTTTGTACTTTGGTCTACCCACTAGTCTCCTTATTTTAAATGTTCTTTTACGATATTTTTCCTAATATTTCTTGTATTTTCAAGTAATAATAAAATTTGCTAATCTAAGTCTGTACCTTGGTAGAAAAAGGGGCCAATGTCCAAAATGTGCTATAATGAGTTAACATCACTACTAAAATAGGCCAATTGCATACATTTATCAGAAAAAAAGCCAATGTCCAAATAAATTTAGTTTTCAAGTTATGTTTATCTTAATTTGGCCAAAGTCCATTTCCATTAAAATGAAAAAAGGACAATGTACATCTCATTGGAGTTTGGCCCTTTAGTTATTAGTTTAACCTAAGGGCCAATGTCCAGCTTCCTGGACAGTGGCCGTGTTCTCATTTCTTTCGTGGACATTGGCCCTAACCACGCCCTAACTAAGACATTGTGACATATGTTTTTCAAAAAATTTACCAGGCTGTGGTATGATGGTTTGCATTTCTTACTAAGATATTATTGTACAATATGAGTAAAAGAACTCTAAAAACATTAGAAAACTGTACATTGTTTTCTACAAATGGCAAGTTATTACTATCATTTCTAAAAATAAAAAATTATTATATTTGATTTATTTTAGCTGGCGAAGCCGAAGGTGCTGGCAGAAGTAAATTAACGTCCACAAGTGGGTTTTTCCCTGACTTAGATTATACCGTCAGTAATAATATAATACCATTACGTCCTTTAACTCCTAGTAAATGGGTAAATAAATAAAGTACTTGTGTACCTTCTTAGTTGTTCCTCATCAATTTTGTTTTCTATTTTCTGTGGATAATTCACGATTCACGTTTTAGGTATTTTCTAACAAGGAAGAATTCTTTGGCGAGCAAAGCTCTAAAGAATTAACAACACTAAAGGAAATTCCCTTAGAGGTAATAATTTACTTCATAAAACTGTTGTTGGTAGGCATATTATTATTTACCTACTGACGAAAACTTGCCATGGAAAACTATTAATTAGTTCTGTTGATTTTTTCAGACACATTGTGGCCTAGAAGAAATAGAGCATGTTCCTGAGAGTGATGATGATTCATTTCAAGACCCTGATTATACGTCATCGGAGATTTTAGATGGAGGAGAATACCCGGTTACAGCAGAGTTTGAGGTAAATATTTATTATTATTGATATCTTTTAGATTCATTTTACAATTTTTAGATAGAAAATGAAATTGGCAACGTTGATGATAATATTGATAATGAAATGTTACAAGATAAAAATGAAAACACATCTATAAAAGATAGGAGAAGAAAGCGAATAAGGAATACCAAATCCTGGAAGGAAAATAAAAGAAGAGAACTGAAAGAGAAAGGTGAAGAGTATGTCTCTAAAAAAGGAGTTATTAAAAAGGAAAAGCAAATGAAACGTCCATGTGATTTGCAGAAAAAATGTTATCAAAAATTCACTGAAGAACAAAGAAAAAGATTGTTTGAAGGTTTTTATAATTTATCAACAGATGGACAAGATCAGTATATAGCAGAGACCGTCAAAGAAACGACAAACAAAGACCAAGAATTAGAAAGGAATGTGAAAAGGCGGACGGCATTAGCCGGAGGAAATTTACTAGAAATTATTTTTTAACTACTGATGAAAACCAGTTTATTGAAATATGTCAAGCGATGTATCTTCGAACGTTTGATTTACCTTTAAAAAAGTAAGGATAATTGTCGAGAAAAAAAGAGCTATCAGTCAATCTAATATCTTCCCAATGGATGGGAGCATATTAAGGAATATGGAAGCATATTAGGCATATTAGGAAGCATATTAATAGTTTTCTGGCTTATAATAGCCACTATTTCCGGGAACGTACTTCCAAAAAATACCTAAGTCTCGATCTTTCAGTGACAGAGATATATCGTCTTTATTGTGAATATTGCCGAAACAATAATATAAACCATTAAAAGGAGTCAATGTATAGAACAACATTCAATGAAGACTTTTATCTTTCCTTTCACAGTCCGGCAAAAGACACTTATGCTTAGTGTGACCAGTTTAATGTAAGTCTAAGAAGTATGGAAAGTAAGCAACTAACTAAAGAAGAAGAAGACGAACAGGGAAAGCTTTTAATGGAGAGGGAAAAACATTTAGATTTAGCTGAGACTGCTTACAAGCAAAAGTCGTTAGACAAAGAACGAAGCAAAGTAGACCAATCATTTGTGGTTGCTTCTTTTGTTTTAGAAAAATCCCTACCAACCCTACACCTCCGGAACGGTGTTTCGTTTTATAAAAGGCAACTATGGACCTACAAATTAACAGTATTTGAGACTACCACATTAGGCAATGTGGGAATTTCTTTCCTATGGAACGAGACAGTGGCTGGTCGTGGTGGGCAAGAAATAGCTTCATGTGTAATAAAATTTATTTTGTCGCTACTAAAAGAAGTAGAAATGCTTAATTTGTACAGTAATTCTTGTTCTGGCCAAAACAGAAACATTTTTGTATCCACAATGATATTGTTAGTGATGAGTGAGATGAAAAAAATAGGGAAAAATTTGAAAGAATTACATCATAAATTTATTGAACCTGGCCACACCCATATGGAAGCCGACACAATTAATGCGTCCATAGAGACAGCTAAGAAAAAGACAACATCTGAAATTGAAGTTCCACACGATTGGAGCAATTTCATAAAAATTGTACGAAATACTCCTCCCCTTCAAGTTGTAGAGATGGAACAAAAAGATTTTTTAAATTTTAGTAGGGTACTATCAGGAAAATTAGTACATAGTAAAAAGAATGATGATGGGGAAGCTGTACCATGGATGCAAATAAAGTGGTTAAACTATACTCAAGAACATGAGTACCAATGCTTTTACAAAAAATGTTTTGCAGATGACGAAGCTGTTAAAAAAATTAATTTAAGGAGGGGTTCTAATAGAAATCGAAAAAAGGAAATGGAAATTGAGCAACCAGAACCCATTAATTCAGAACCTTTGCCTCTAGCCGACATTAAAGTAAAAGATTTGTTGAGTTTACTACCGTACATTAGTGAATACAACAGACCATTTTATCAAAATCTTAAAAAATCAAATGACATCGATGCTGACATTATTCCAGTTCCAGACGTCAACGACTAAGATATTGTTTAATTTAATTTCTTTTGTTTTGGTTAAATTTAATTTGTATTTTGTATGTATGTTAAAAAATAAAGAATTTTCTTCTAAATCATACTATTTTACTGCTCTGTTGCACGGCCAATGTCCCATTCCGGCAAAACCTGCACAGGGCCAATGTCCATGTTTTTCTGGTTATAAAGAAAAATAATAAAATAGTGTTCAGTGTAATGAAGCTTGGCATATATTAATACATATTAAAAAAAAAAACACCACAATATTTTATCAACCGATTAGATATTTGAATAAACAGCATACTCTAAACCTGTTAACCCAATTTTCTCTAAACAGTAAAAATGGACATTGGCCCTTTTTCTATTAAGGTACAGAAGCTAAAAACGATTTTAAATGGTTCGTCCTTCATTTTGAATTAATACGTCACTTAATGTTGTGTCTGTGGTGGCAATTCCATAGTGTAAGCATACAAATGTTTCACTAATATTGAATCACTTAGAATTATTGCTTGTTCGTATTCCAAAATAAAACAAAATACAGAGTGGGCGAGTCTCATGCGTGCCGTCATCATTAATCTTCCCCACGTTTCAGAAACTTGTTATATAATAATTCTGGTTGTTTTCTTTTCAAATGTCATATTTTCATTACCCGTAGAAAAGCACGAAAGCCATTTTTCTGTTAGTGGAGCGTGCAAACTATAAAGAACAAAAGGATAATATAACAATATAACAGGAGCAGATAAAAATGCTGACGGCCAAAGGCGTCGTTGAAAAGGGTTGTTTAGAAAATGTACATGCATTCTGTGGTATTTAGGGATATATCTTTATGAGTTATTGTGCTTTGTTTTTCAGTAGTGTACATACTTTCTTGAAAACACTATACTAAGTACAATAAAAAATTGCTATAAAAAAATTGGACATTATTTTTCAGAATTCAGTAAAACAAAATATTGTAAGTATGTTTAAAAGAAAACCGTAGTATAATTAATATTAGTTATAGTCTAGTAAAAATGGAAAAACAGCCAGGCACATATACGTTACTTATTATTTGAAGAAAATGCTTAGATGAGTTAATTTAACAAAAAATAATTAATAATGATAGTAAATGTCAAATTGACATATAAACTTATGTTAGGTAAGTTGGTGACACGGTAAGGTATAATGGTGATAGTGGTTAGGAAATTTGGTGATATTATGGAAATTGTATATTTAATCAGATATTTAAAAATTATAATCCATACAACGATCACATCTATAATAAAGTTTTTCATCGGCGTCAGTATCTTCGATAAATATGGAAATCTCGTGGTATGGTGTCAAACAAGATGAGCACTGAATACATTGGGCTCCATTTCTTTTCTTAACATCAGTTGAATACAGGACTCCACCACATAAGCCACACTCCCAATCATCTATTTTATTTTTTTTGCTTTTTGGACAGATTTGTATGAAGTCGAGGGCTGTTGCTGAAGATTTTCTGTTACTGAAGTGTTTTCGTTTGTCGCTGTTAAGCATTTCACACTTGAGTCCTTTTTTCTTGACCTCTCTGGACGTTTTGAAGCTGTTGGTGCTTTCAAAATATGATTGACTGTTGCTTTCGGATTTAAAATAGAAGTTTCAGGTGCTGCGTCAGTTAAAACTGGAGAAGCAGGAGCTATGTCAGTTAGAGGTGAAGGCCTTAATGCTTCTTTTGGAATAACATCTCCGTTTAAAGGACATATGCCTGTTTTTTTAAAAGCATTCTGAATGTTTGCCATTGTAAGGGCAAACATGGAAGCTGGATTCAAAATGGAATGAAAGTTGCTACGATTTGGAGCATCTGTAAGGTTATTGCTCATACAACGTATCATGCTATCGCGCCAGTAAGTCTTAAGTGGCTTGGGAAGACATTTCTGAGAGTTTTATTGCAATGTAAGAGTCGACATTTCATATTACCCCCGAAGTTCATAACCAGCCTTGGACCAGCTAGTAAAGAAATAATTAATATCAATATATCCTACTTATAGTAAAAGGAAAGATCGAGGAAAAAAAGAACTAGGAAGGAAACGATTGTCGTGTCTCAAACAAACACATGAATATAGAAAAGTGTTTGCAATTAAAGGAGCCATCCTCCACTGAGAAGAGAGCCTTATCTTATTTATCATTATTGTACCAGTCTCTTATTATCTCGCCATTTGACCTTGAACACATTGCTCTTGATTGTATCGTCACTGCTCTAACTATTCTTAAAATATCTTTTTAAAAATTTAAAGAAAAGTTTAAAGTTTTTAAATTTTGTTATATAATATTCTCGTTTAATAACGAACTCTTTTTAGATAGTTATTTTTATTTCTTTCCCTGTCGTACTTTCTGCTAATTCAATTTTTTCTTGCAGCAAATTTCCCTAAGCACGTCATTGGAAGGTAACAGTGTAATAGCACCAGATAAAAATGGCTCGGCGTCATTAAATATAACTTGTACGGCTAAAAATATACCTCAGTGACTTAAATTTCACTTTAAGGATAACATTTCGTGAGATAAGACTTAATTATTGCCCTGCTTTGTACGTATTTCGGTTCGTTCCGTTCGGTTTGTTCTTTTTTGCGATGTTTGGTTGGAGGTGAGGCAAAATCTGAGAAATGGAAGTTCGTGCTTTCTATATAACAAATCGGATTCTATTTATCTTACTAACGTGTCGGTGCACATGGACTCCCGAAAAGTTATTCCAGACTGGAAGATACGTCTGGATATTAAAGTTGATTACAATGCCTGCTACGCAAACTTATAGAGGTAGATAAGTCTTGAGATAACTTCAAAGGTTATGGTATTTTGGTCTGTGAATTTAAAGGAAAACAAAAATGATGTAATAATATCTTTAAATTGTGCTTATTTATTATGGTTTTTCTCAAAGGCACAATAGCCAAGTACTAGACGAGTTTTTCGGATAATATTATTTTAAGTATAACTATACGTTTTTCACCCCACGGTGAAAACACGTCTATTTTCCCCAAGATATACTTAGCTGCTGAAACATACAAAACACATCCATAATCTATGATTGATCTTATATACGATTGATAAAAAAGTAACAAAGTTTCTACATCGGCTCCCCACCAAGTTTTAGAAATTGCTTTAAGGAAATTTAATCTCTTATTACATCTATTTAACATGAAGTCAATGTGTAACTTCCAAGTTAATTTACGGTCAAGAATCATCACTAAGTACGTAATATCAAGAACAGAAATTATATTCCCGACTGTTCACTGTTAACTTGTCTATTTTTGGGAGACTATGCCTCGTGAAAATACATATACTAGATTTACTTGGTACTATTTCGAACCCATTTTCTTTAAACCAGCTATTGGAGTAGTCGTCCATTTTTCCCAAAATTTGTATGCACTTATCGTATGTTTTGGATGATGAATATATAAGAAAATCATCAGCATATTGTATTACGTTAAAACTCTTATGTACTAGGGAGACATTATGCAAATCAGATGTATATAGATTAAATAATAAAGGGCTCAAAACTGAC